TATACTGTAGAAGATGATGATGCACCTTGTAGTGGCAAATCCGTAAAATTAGGGTTCTCCAGTGGGTGGAAAGGTCTGATTCGACGCTGGACACTTGAGTCCTAGGAACTTTTACCTTTTATGAGGAAGGTAGGTGGAGTAATATGCTTCTAATTTTAGCCGTACCGTCCCCACGCGATTTCCCGTTCCAGGGTCACCGCCCCCAGTCCAGGAGGAGCCCGTCCTGAAGAAAGTAGCCGTCCAGGAAGGAAGGAACGACCGTGCCGGACGTTTAATTCTTTTTGTTTATTTTTGTTTGTAAAACCGATTTATTTAAGTCAAGATTTATTATTTTAGACCTGTAGCGGTGGCAAGGAATAAACCCGATTTATTGTAAAATATTTTTGTCCGTTGTATTTTATTTTCCTGTTTGCACGGGCGCTCACCACCTGGAGATCCGTGTCTCCGGATTGTGGGCAACCCCGGTGCACCCTCCCCCGGAAACCGCTCCGCGCCACTCCCGGCGGCGTGAAGGTCGCCACATAAGCTTACGTCGGCCAGACCTGTTTTTAAATCAGACACACTAGTCGGCCAAAGGCTTGGCACCGAAGCACGCAGCCCCCATGCGTTATCGGCGAGATTCCGGACCATCACGGGAATTTCGTCGCACCATTTCACGCTGTTTCGGTTAATTGGACTCTCAGCTTCCTGAAAATGGGTCTTTTTTACTCATTTGAACGTCCTGGACAGGAACCCGCACTCATATGATCCACCTGTATAAAAATGACATCGTCCGATTTATCGATCTCTAGGGCGCGAACAAGTGCCTTGGCCGCCCCAAAAATCGATGAACGCGACTAAAAAACACCAAGGAATCGAACTGTGCAAACCACAAGTCTGAATCTTGAACCGTTTTGGAATGGTGAACTCGTCAACTCAAGAAACATTTTTTAAGATGCGCGTTGTAACGCGATTTCGACTAAAATCGAACGAATTCAACAACTGATGGCAGAAATGAATTCTGCATTGAAAAGTTAGTCCAGATGCACATACCTTTGCAATGATCTTAAAACATCTCGGACCAGGCAATGCAGACCACTAAAATATGGGACCGAATTAAGAAAGCTATCTTTATGCGCCCGGATTACCATAACTGGATCATAGTTTCCCTTGTATTGTTCTGTTCGATTCATGTACAGCTTTAGAAGACGTCGAAGGTCAACTCAATTCTTATGGGACGCAACCACGCATTCCATTTTCGTTCCACAGGGGAATCGATGAACCAATTAACTTACAAACTTTTGTTTAAAGCTACGTTATAAGAAGACAAGAATTTTACGTGCGTGGATCCTTGGAACAACCATATGCAACACAACATACAGCTTCATAATCCAAGGTAAAAGTAGCACAGAATGTTGCTTATTCGCCCACAGAAAGGTTAAAAACACGACCTGGAGGCTTATAAATATTGTTTTCTTTTTTTTGGAACAGAGAAAATATCGAAAATAAAAAAAAAAACAATTTAATTTGTCGGTGGGCTTGAAACCGCAACCTGTGCACCTTAATCCTGATACATGACAGTGTCCGTTCAAGCGTCGTTTTGCGGGCACGTGTCTTAGTTCGATTTGTCAGTGCGGCCCACAATTAGCCAAACTCCGGTCATTTATAACCCGCGGTTTCGATAAAAATATCCGACGTTTTTCTTGACAGTCCAATTAATAATTGTAATGGTCGAATCGAGCGCAGATTTCAACCTGACATTCCCATTGTTTCGACGCGGGTTTTATAAATGTACGTGTCGACGCCATTCCGAAACCGGCGGAGGTCAATGCCGACGCCCTCGAGAATTATCGTTTATTACCAGCAATTGCTCCACCTTTCTAGTTATCGTTCCATATGCTTTATGGCAGGGACTCCCCGGAAGCTGCGGCAATAAAATATTTAACCTTCCTTCGGCGAAAAACGAATATTTCGACTAAAGGGACATCAGTGTCTCCTTACAAAAGCGCCACATATGAATTTTTCTTCCGCGTTATTCTTGCGTGGGTTTTGATATATAGCGTCGTAATTAATGAAAACAGACAAGGGAATATTATTCAGTTGCTTTTACTCGAGAGCAAATCCCTTTTAGGTCGAGATCTATCCACTTTTTGCGTAGTTTCTTTGGATTGTGAGCCGTTAGTAGTAGGAGTCACTACAACCGCGCAAAATCCGTCTCCGCAGTTCCGTTAATTATAATTAAATTTAATCGTTGATTTTACTTTGTAATGCATTTTTCAAGATAAATTAGCTTTGATAAAGTGCTTTCAAGCGAGAGCTGAGTACGTAAATTACCCAAAAAAGTTTCCATCGCTGGATGAAAACCCGGATCAAAGTCTGAACTTATTTTCTTAGATATCAGGTACTTCATTGATTGCAATTTCATAATTAACTTAGCTGGAGGAAGCTGATGGAATTCGACGGGTTTGTAATAGGTTTTACGTGCCACAAAGACTTTAAATTACTAGTGTCCACAGTGCAAATGACGCTGAAAACTTCTTTGACGCGTGTTGAAGGTCCGTCAATCAAACGTCAGACCGCGTGAATCTAGTACCTCAGTTTAATCAAATAGTGGATGTCGTGCACGAGGGACGGTAAATCCCACAATATCAGGTACGGGTCCAGAAAAACGCCTCCGAAACTAAAAGTGGAGATTAGGGGAGGAAATATCTCAATTAATGAAATCCCGGGGCGCGGCAGGGTGGTAGCATGTTGCGTGCAAGCAGCGACCATCATTCTGGCGTAGGAACCCGGTCAAATAGTCAATTAAAGGTTTCAAACATCTGCAACCAACATTACATCCAGACGACACCTGCTACCTATATGGAACCACTTAGGGGCTTTTAGACCCGTCACTATAACTTTATTTACTTGCGTAAACTCCATTACACTTTCCATCGGTGTATAAAGTATAAACAAAGCCACTTTAGTAGCGCGAAAAACACTTAAGCTTCAGTGAATAATTGATAAGCGAAAGAAAAGACCATTACGATGTTTATATTATGTGATTTTAGAAGTTCGGTGCTAGGTACAGCGCAACACCTGAAAAGCCCCACGTTAATATTTTAGCGAAACATGCTTTTAAAACCGTTTCTTAATGAACACAAAAAATATGTGCTGCGTATTTTCTTTCCACAGCGGTGTCCCATTCGAACGTCTGGATAAATTGGCATTCTTTTTAACACGGGATATTCTTCATATTACTTCGCCTGTATAAGAAACAACTTCCAAACAAGGCATAAAAAACAAGCTAAGTGATCGTATTTCTTTCACTTCAATTGTAATTACCCTTGTATATTAGTATAAGCACGGGGTGCGAATATCGGCGGATTTTTCATACACTCGGGCGGTTTTCGTGATTACCTACCACCTGAGAGCCCCTTACTTTAAGATAAATGACCGCAGTCTCCTGAAAGTCTCCATAGATCTTCATTTCCCGGAGACGTCTGACGCCGAGTCGGGTTCACATTCGGCTTATTGAGGAAATAAAAATAGAGGTGGTCCAAGTAAGCCTTCTCTTCTATTATTTCTTAAATCTGTCCACTATTTCATCCCCTAAATGGACGTTACACTGTTGTTTACGATTACTTATGGGACCATTAAGCCCCCCCGTATAAACAAACATCTTCACACCGAAACGCATTTATTTCTACAGATTTTATTTCGAGGGTTGTAAATTTCATTTATTTCGCATTTAGCTCGCCACTTAGCTTACGTGCAAGAGAAATCCCATTATCTCAGACGCCATCACGGCCTTAAGAGAGGGGAAAATGCCGCCGTTTTTCAACACAGCAAACAATTACGGGGTTCATATTTTACGGCGGCGCTTAAAGAAAACATAGACATGACGTTTTTTGCTCTTAATTTTAATGAATATTAAAATGACACCGATGTTTGAAGGGGCTTAGATTAAGCCGACCCTCGTAAATGTTGCAGTCTTAGCCATCGTGCCAAACGAACTCTGAATTTTTCAGCAGGACACGATCCGGAGTATCTATATCGGGACACCCGTTCGTCCCCCGAACACTCACCATTTAATCGCCGGACTAATTAAAATGTACCTCCTTTAGCTTTGTGGGGCTGTTAGTCAGCGTCTGCTGCATGAGGGTCGGGTAGATTGACTCGTGTCCACTAGGGTCATTAAATGATAAGCTTTCATCTGCATCGCTTGTCATCGTCGAGATGTATTAAATGGATATTGTCAACGAACCTCTGGGATTGATCGCGATGCAAGGCAAGTGAATGCGGTCAAAGCGAAATTATCCAGTTTCACGCATGATTTATGGATAGCGTAAATACAACACTACAACACAAACAAAGTGCATCGGTCTTGGAAAATTTCGTCGAATTTGGTCCTGACGGAAGATTAATTAATTCGTGTAACGTAGGTTTTCACTTTATGCACAATTATAAGGTCGAGGTTTTAGACAAAACGCTACAACTCGTTCTATTTCCTATTATAATCAATATCCGTTAGAGTGAGCCAGGGCGACATAAGTATCCACATATTTTCTTGCTAGTGGTAAGTTCTTTCTCACAAAGTACTGACGCTTCTTTCCTAAAACTCCTCTAAGGTTTCATTGGCTTCGTAAGCAACTTCCGAAGACTCCATAAAATACATCTCTTTCGATATTTTCGAAACCGGCTTACATACTGATCCAATTTAGTTAGGTATCAGCCGTCGCTTTACAACCACACAGTCCGATTTGTGTGAAAGTTCCACCTCGAAATTCAATTTCACAAATATGATAATACGGTTAATCGAAGCGAGGCTTGAGGCGCCGTGACGCCGTATAATTTTTTCGCCTGAATCTCCTCAGACACATATTCACTCACTCCTTTATTGCATATAGCGTCTGCAGAATTTTCCGTTCCGTGCCTTCCTTGAAACGACAATTCCATCAGGTAAAAATTCACAGTAAGCTTCTACATGATGCGTCCAACGCACGCGATCAGGTCAGGTGGGAAAGAAAACACCGTCGAAAAAATTAACTTTATAATCATAAACTGCAATACATAAGTACCCAAGGGAAGTCGGGTTCCTCTTGAAAATTTCCTTACAAAATATATAAGTGGTCGCAATAAAAAACTTACAACATTATAGTAACAACAACATTTAGACGAGGAATATATCAATATTATCGCACTTTCGGCCTTTCGATTCAACCAAATGGAAAGCAGTGATGTATATCTTAAGACTAGAGAAATTTAACTTGAGAATTTAATAACCGAACCATTACAGAACCTCTCGTGAGGTGATGCTATCTAAGTTAGATGTCGCTCCAGATGACGGCTTTCTTGGATCTGTCTACGCTGGCCAGCATGGTTCCGTACGGATGCCACCCAGTCGCCGTCACCGCGGACCTGGAGAAGAGGCCATGTGATCTTCACAACGCATGTAACAAACACCACACACGTGCAGCGAAGGCTACCTTTACATCTAAGTGAAACGTGACTCGCCGTCTTCCACCCTAACGTGGAACACGGCGCCCAAGCTCACACAAGCAAAAATCAAGCCGTCTAAATTTTAATTCACTTACGAGTGCTCCTTGAGGACGCCTTCCACCTTGGAAGAGCTCACGCCCCATATGTAGACGCTGCCGTCCGCCGAGCCCACCGCCAGATACTGCCCGTCCGGGCTGAAGGTGACCCTGGCCCAATCACAGCCTACTTTGAATCCATCCGAGCTGCAAAAAAACACGATAAGATCCCCTCTGTTGACACTCGCGCCGTTGACAAGTCATCAAAAACCCTCGGCAATTCATGTTTCCATCAATAAAAATTTTAAAACCGTTCCAAGAAAAATGGAAAAAATTTAAGTGCAAAGTGCGCGATAATGGTTAAAGTTTTCGGATCGGAGTTTTCACGCCAAAACACCGTCGAATATCTAATAAATCACGCGGACATCGGAGTGGGTGGAGTAATTCATTTTCGTAAGGAACGCGTTAAACACTTAACTTCTTCGGGAGAGAGGAAAAGTGGGTTAAGTGGAGACGCCAACAGGTCCTCTGTGTGGATAGCGGCCGTGATAAGACGGCACCCTGGGCGAGACTGATATCGCCATAAAGTCATCGTTTTTATCTTATGTCATTAATCTTATAGCAGTCGACAGGCACCCTGCCTGAATATCTGGTCCGGACTAGTGTATTTGCAAACTTCTTTATCGCCGGAGCGCACGACACATGCTCCGGGCGGATCGAACCAGTTTTATTAAATTGGAAGAGAGCATTCCGACTCTAACTTTGACGAAAGATCGCGACTTACCTCGAAATCAATTTGTCACAGCGCCACAAAAAAACTACAAGGTCTCTATAAACGAGGTCATGGAAGCGTGCCGCCTCTTACTTTACAAGGACTTTACCGTTCACACTTGAAAACATTAAAACTATAAAATTATTGTACAAAATAAAAAATCAATCCGTCAATCACAAGTTTATTCAGCTAAAAATACCAGCATTAACACTTCTTCAACTTTTCCGCATAGCTCTGAAACAAAAATCTCAATATATCACACCTTTCATCCACCACGACCTACTTTTCTCGCCAGCTCCCTCAAACCTTCTTCCATCTCGCTACAGTGCACGTGAACATAGTTATACAAAAACCCTTCCTTGTTTTCCAAAAGGGTATAAGCATGGTCGAACTCCACCACCGTACCAGCGTCCATCACAAGAACTTTGTCGGCATCCATCACCGTGCTCAGTCTATGTGCTATAACCAACACAGTGCAGCCACTAAATTTCGTGCGAATGATTGACTGTATCGTCCTATCAGTCCTCAGATCAATACTGGCTGTAGCTTCATCCAAAACCACGATTTTGTTTCGTCGGAGCAGAGCCCTACCCAAACACAGTAGCTGCTTTTGGCCCACACTCAAACTCGCAGTTTCATCTGTAACCACCGTGTCCAAACCCGACGGTAAATTAGCAACTGTAGACCCCAATTCGACTGCTTGCAGGACGTCCCAAATCTCCCGATCACTGTACACTTGCAGTGGGTCTAAATTTTTCCGGACGGTTTCCGGGAAGAGAATTGGGTGCTGCGGAACGATGGACATAGAGGACCGTAAAGACTCCACAGACATTTGTTTGGTGTCGTGTCCATCTACGAAAACCTTACCATGGAAAGGGTACAACCGAAAAAGCACAGACACAAGAGACGACTTCCCAGCTCCTGTTCGTCCCACGATACCAACAGTTTCGCCCGATTTGACTTCAAAAGAAATGTTATGGAGAACAGAAGCTTTTGGTGAATATTGTAGATAAACCGAGCGAAATTCCAGGTTGCCGTCAAGTGGTACCTTTTCTGGCAAGTTGATTCCAACATCGTGCAAAGGCGGACTTTTCCCATACGCTATCAAACGATGTACTGACACCAGGAAGTTGTCTATGTCACTCCATTGGTTCATATGAACCGAAGATGTGGCTATTATCATTGTGGATTGCGTTATGGTCATACCGACGATGATCGGTGAGACTGACCCTCCGAAAAGCAAATACCCATAGGTTACCAAAGCCACGTTGAGCACAGAAAGCACGTCCACCCAAAATCGTGCGACCAGTTGCATCACCAAGTTAAAATAGAAATACGCACTATGCTGATCTTGATGGTGATCAAACTCTCGGATCAAACTATCTTGGGCTGAGAAAGCCCGAATTGTGGTGAGTCCATGCAAAGACGACGAGAAGTGAGTAAAAGGTAACCTGTGACCTAAAAATTGTCAGTTAAGGAATCGGCGACTGTCACACTTACTCTGTTGTTCCAGCGAATTGATAGTGTGGTAATGTGGTAACCACACCAAAGAAATCAAACACACTACAACAATATACAACACCGTGGCAAATGTGAACCATACGTTGAGAACCGAAATTAAAACTAGGGCACCTACGATCATAAAAAATAATAGAGACGCGTTTAACACAACCGTGGGGAACAGTTCATCCGTGATTGCCAAATCTCTAGAAAAGGCACTCAAAATTCGTCCAGACGGTTCCATTTGGAAGAAATTCATAGATTCGTACATTACGCGCTGAAGTACCTTGTCATGCTGGGTTTTCGAAACGTGGCTGCATAGTTTTGAATACAACCACACACGCACTAGAATGAGGACAATGATAGCGGCGGCGAAACCACCAAAAAGATATATTAAAACGGTGCGCGTGACCATCCGGTTGTCGAACCAGATCAAGATAAAGTAGTCGAAAACATTACTGAGTACTTGGATGATGATCGACAATAAGAGGACAAAGGCGGTGTATACCCAGGTCCCGTCTTCCAGAAAAAAACCCCGATAAGTCTCCATCCGGCTAAACCCTTCCAGTTCTTTCTTGGTTTCGTCACGTATTACCTTTTGTCTGGGTGGTTCCTCGTAACTGTTCTCCAGTTCGGGCGTTAGCAACTCAAGACAAGTGAACTGAGAGTGGAGGTCGTCGTCTGTGGGATCAAGGATCACTTCTCCTCGTTCCACTAAGTAAACCCGGTCACACCTTTTGAGGTACTCCAAACTATGAGTGACCAAAATCACGCACTTGTCTTTCAAGAACCCTTTAATGCATTCGTCGAAAATGTGCCTTGCTACCCGACTATCAACAGACGCTAGAGGATCATCTAGGAGGTAAATATCAGAATCGCGATACACAGCTCGGGCCAAATTGAGCCGGGTTTTTTGGCCTCCGCTCAACGCCACTCCAGAATCTCCCACAATGGTTGAATCGCCATAAGGTAGAAGCTTCAAATCGTCTTCCAAACAACACACTTTGATGACTTTGGTGTACCTTTCCTCGTCCATTTTTTGACCAAACAAGATATTTTGTCTAACCGTGGAAGTAAAAATCCAGGGTTCTTGCGACGAGTAAGAGATGGACCCTCGGATGTCAATACTGCCTTCAAGTAAGTGGATTTCGTTCAAAATGGCGTACAAGATGGACGACTTTCCGCTGCCTGTAGTACCCGCAAAGGTCACAACTTCGCCTGTAGATGCTTTAAAATTGATCTTTCGTAAAGTGCAGTACAGTGAAGATGTGTCCCACTTGGCAGTTATATCTTTAGCCTCAATTACAAAGTTTGGGTTTGTGACAATACACCGGTCACTACTTTCGTGTAGTGGAGGTTCGTTGGAATTTTTATTACAGAGCAGGAAATTTTGAACCCTCTGTATCGAAATTCGGGCATCTGCAAGGTCTACAAGTGCGAAGGGCATAAAGACCGTCATGTTAATTCTGAGAGTCTCTAGTACGATTGCTAAGGGAAATATACCGAGTGTTGATGGTGAATCGATCAGAAAACAAGCTAAAAAATAGAAGAAAAAGTTGCCCTTGCCAATGAAGCCTTTTACAGATGCTATTAAAAAACGTAAGCGGGACACCGACGCTATTTTAGCTATTTCAAACCTAAAAAAAATATATTTTTTGGTTTCATTAATAATAAAACTTACCGTCTAGCCGTTTCTATGAATTTAATAAAGGCCTTTTCCCACACATACATTTTAATAATAAGAATTCCACGTACTGCGCTACTTATCAGACGAATTCTGTTATCAGTTCTAGTGGCAATTTTCATTCGAAGCAACGACACTTTCTTTGATATGTGGTCTACGGGTGAAGCTATACTAATGTATGTGAAAAAATAAGCACTTACATAGTAGTACCGAGCTTATGATTGAAGGTACTAAAAGAGTAAGGGTCACGTGACCATACCAAACATCAAAATAATACGTTGCTATTATTATCTTCACAGGAACGATTAAAACAAGAAAAGGCAAATATCTACACACATTATCCAAACGTTTCAAGTCATTCGAAAATAAATTTATTACTTGTCCAATGGTACTTGAACCCAGGTCCCTCCTCTGCAGTTTCAAGCAATGTTTGTATATCAAACAACCACAAGCTATGCGTAATTTCATCCCTATCACAGTTCCTTTGAACATCGACCACTCATAAGAAACCTCACTCAGTGCGGAAAGAAAGACAAACAAAGTCGCATACAAGTACGCTTCGTTTTGACTAACTGGCGACTCCTTGGAAAAATATTCCAGTAGCTTTTTCAACGAGTAGGGTTGAAATATTCTGAAGATGCAAAAAGGTAAAAGCTAGCAGAAAGCTCCGACGTACTTACAACACAAATATGTCACATAGACAGTGTATAAAAGAGAATACGCAAAATTCTACTAAGAACAGTTTTATGATTGCCCTTTGTAAAGATGGTTGTTTTGATGATTTTTCCTTTTCCCATGCTGCTTCCAATATGTTGCCTAATCGCTCCGACTGGTGGTTCCGTGACGTTCCGTAAACGCCCTCTTCGTTGAAGCTTTTTTTGAGATTGGCCACAAACTTGGGGAGCTTCCAGCTATATACGAGTACCACAAGAACGAAGATTTTGTCGGAAGTTCTATTTTACACTTACCAACAGAAAATATAAGCCAATATGTTAATATTTCCTTTTGAATTTTCAGTTCTACTGCGTTGGTGGTAATCCATTGCTGCAGAGTTTCCAACGGTATAAACTTTCCATATGCCATTTTTTTAGAACACAATATTGGCAGAAGGTAACGACAATAAACTGATAACACGAGTACACATAATTGGTACTTTAGCTATTGTGGTGATAGCTGAGTCAAATATTATGCGAAATTACATATTTTATCTACTATTTTACTATAGTAGATTATGTTTAAAAATTCAAACTAACCAGTTAATATTTCGGATAAGACGGTCACTGTTTGACGAAATAAATATAAATAACTCTTCTAAAAAAAAAAAAAAAACACACACACACACACACGCCTAAAATGTAGTCTTTACAAAAAAAGTCAAAAAATCTATACGTTTCACACAGCCATCTCATAATAAACTGTAAAGAAATAACACAAACGGAGTCATTATTAACAAAATTACCGTCTTCCTCGCGATATTCGCTTGAATAAATATATTTTTTTAATTCAGCACACAACTTCTTTTGATCTTTGGCTTCGAGGATAATATTACGTAAATAATTACGTTTCATTTTGAATGCTAAATTATGTAACGTTGCGTTGTACGCAACCGACAATGCGAAGAAGAAAAAGCGTTGCCTATATAGAGACACCGTAATTGCAGGAGACTCGAGGCAGTTTCTTCCTTCGAGTGTCTGAAACGCACAATGCTGCAGCACGAATTATTAAAAAAATGGAAAGTTATCGTGAAAAATTTCGCCCACTTTGCGAAAATAATGCGCGTTTTAATTCGCTTTAATACAACTCGCCAACAAGAAGATATTTAATGGGATTCCTCTGCAAAAATTGTATTCGTGGAAGTTTTCAAGTAAATCAAGAAAGAAAGGTGACGCAACTTCAAATCTAAAACCAAAAATCAGCGTGGGTTTTAAATACCAATAAATCTTTCCTAATAATTTAGCTTCACGGGGACATCAACAGTTCATCTTTAATAAAACTTAAACGTGCTCGCTGCGCTCGCATTATATGTATATGGAAGACTAAGAACACGTTCGAGATGCAAAGAACGAGAAAGACGATAAGGACTAGAAGGACAATCAGGATTAGAAGGACTGGAAGAACAAGAAAGTCCAGAAGAACATGAAAACGACGAGAACGAACGAGAATGATGAGAATTAAACCAATGAGAACGACACGAGAATAACAAGAAAGACTAAAAGTATGAGATGAACTAGAAGAACACGAGAACGACAAGAACAACTTCAGGATAACAAAGAACAAAGCGAGATTGACAATAAGGACAAGGATGAGAAAAACAAGGAAGTCAACAAGGACACGACAACCATGAGCATGACATGAGAATGACGGGAAAGAAAAGACAGCTACGCAGAACCAGTAGGATGCGAAAGACTAGAGAGAGATAACTAGAAGAAAAATGATAAAAACGAGAAGGACACAGGAATGACAAGAACGCCATGAGGATAATGAAGAACAGGCGGAGAATGGCAAGAATGACATAACAATGACAACAACGAAAGAGAATGCTACGAAACCGATGAGAACGACGGGAGATTAATGAAGAACGACTCGAATAAGAAGCGAGAACGTCAAATAACGAAAAGTACGAGAATGACGAGGACTAGAAAGACGAGAAGAACAAGAACATCGAAAAGGACACAAAAATGACTAGAGCGAGAAGAATGACAAGGACGACTCAAGGATAATGAAGAATAAGTACTCGGAGAAGAACAAGAATAACACCAGAAGAACGAGGAACGACTAGGACTCGTATGACGGGAAGTACAAGAAAGACTACAAGGATACGAAGAACGAGAAGAGGCTAAGGTCAGCCCCCATAAATTAAGAATCCAGAATCCAGAAGAACGATAAGAACACGAGAACGACACGAGAATAACAAAGAAAGAAGCCAGAACGACGGGAACGAGCGAAAAATATGAGATAGACAAAACGAAGAAAACTGCCCGAGAATGATACGAGAACGACAAGAAGAATCCGGACTAGAAAGACGATACGAAACAGAAAGACGAGGAGAACGGGGAGGTCGTGAAGGACACAATGACGA